GCCTGATTTATCTTTAATTCTGAGCTAAGCACTTTTGATTCTACAAAGATAGTACTCTGTTCAGTTTCATCCATTCCAGTGGCCTTGACTGTTACCAAGTACCCTATAGACTCCCAGATGTAAAATTTCAGCTTCAGCCTCTCTTCTGAACTCTAGATCTTAATGTCCAATTTCCTACCATTCTAACTCCACATATACAAGGAACATCTGTTTCATAATAGCTGGAAACAGAATTTGTTTCCTCTGCTTGCTCCATTCTATCCTTATCCTTGTATTCTCTGTTTGGTTAATGGCATTATCAAATTGCATACAGTTGGTTAGCCTGGAAATAAATCTTGGAGTGGTCTGTAACTTCCCCTTTAATCACCCCACACATTCCACTTAATCAAGCTCTGTCAAATGTCTTGTGAGTCCTTTCCTATTCCCTTCCTCCCTGTTTGCATTGCAGCCACCCTAGTTCAAGTCTTCGCCATCTGTTCCTGGGCTCATTGTGGCTTCTGGCTCCCTCAACTCAGGCTCTATACCCTGCCCACCTATCTGCCACGCGGGTGCCAAGTTAACCCTTCTCAAGGATGTGATTATTTCATTATGCTCTGAAAACTCTCCTCACTGAATCTAAAGTTAAATTCCAGTTCGTCAGTATTGAATACACTAACCTGCTTATCCAGATTAATTTCTAACCATTTCTCCCATGCTTACCCTATACTCCAACCCAGTGTTTCCCAACCCTGGCTCTGCAGTCATGAGGGGGGTTTTCATAGTTTATGACTCAGTAATTAAAATTAAAGAGTGGGGCCCAAGCATTTCTGTTTTTAAAGTATCCCATGTGATTTTGATATATAGCTTAGGGTTTAGAACTGCTGTTATAACCAATTTTAACTAGAAAACAGCTGAATGCTTTTCACTTCACAGAGGGAGGTGAGGATGCAATGATGCATCAAACAACTCCCTGCTCCGTAGAATGAAGTGTGCCCTGCTGGAGTCGTACAATATAGTAGCCCTGAGAGAAGGGAAGAAAAAGCTATTAGAGTAGTATGGCTGCTAAAAGCTTAAAAATTTATAGCATTATAAAGTTAATTTTCAAAATTAAGTATTGAAAAAAAAATTCATCAGGCCATAACCAGAAATAAACAATAAGGGGGAAATGCAGACAGCTTTTAATGAGTGCCTAGGATTGTGCAGGCATATATGAGCACTGGGGATAAAAGATAAGATAACATTTTCCTTTTCATCATTCTTTTAATAAATTTGAGTGCCTTTTATGTGCCAGGTATGTGGTGGTAAGAAAAATAAAGTCCCTGCCTTCAAGGAGCAAAGTTTAATGAGGCAAATATAAGTGCTTATGGAAGTAAGTTTATATATTTATAAACTGTGATGAAAGAAAAATAAAATGTACTATCTAAGCATAAAGAGGGAAACCTGACACGGTCTTAGAGATCAGGAGAGGCTTCCCAGAGCCATTGCTACTTGAGCTGGCATCTGAGGAGCAAGCAGGAATGAATGATATGAAGACAGCTGAGGGGAAAGGAAGTGAGGTGAAATGTTATGGTTGGAGAATTGATGAGAAGAATGACAGTGTCCTCATTTTTAGCTAAGAGGTGAATTCAAACAGTTGTTTTTCCAAATCAGAACAAATGAACTTCCATTGTAGAAATAAACCAGAACAGATAACGCTATGCGTGATAACTGCATTAGGAAAAGGAAAATTTCCTGAAGAACCAGATCTTGTAAGATTAAAAGCTGCCAAAATTGACCCTAGAAAAATTAGACTTGATAGAAATAACAAAGTAAAGCTTCCCACGGTTCTTGACCAAATTTAATGGAATTACATAAATAAAATTTAGATTTTAATATGATCCTGAGGAACTTAATGACAAAAAAATGTAATTGGAAGAATTTGATACATGCCCAAAACACCAGTTGATTAATGAATTCCTTACTTTATAATTTATGTAGGAAAAAAACACTTCCAATGAAAATAGTATCAGTAAAATGAAAATGGGAAAACTTTAAATTGTTTTTGCTGTACTATGTGTGTAGGAAACTGATCAAGAAATTAAACTGGTTTGAGTACATGCAAAAAATATTTCCTCAACAAAAATCTATCTGTGATGGTATGATTCCCATTTAACATTTGTCTTCATAAGGCCAGAATGCCTCTAGGGTCATTTCTGGTATTTGGAGAGGCAGGGATAGGCAGACTGAAAAGCAAAAGAGGAATAAGCCCTGGGGGTTCTCAGAAACCAGAGTGCTTCAGGCAAAGAACTATCTTTTGGACATCTTAGGGCATAGATGAGAAAAACAATTTCAGTACATTGTGCAAATTCTTTATGATAGGAGACAGTGCTGGTTGTTCAGAATTCACTGGCAGGGCACCAAGGAAGAGCAGAAAGTTAGGACTTACTTCCCCATTAGTTAAATAATAACTAATACTTAAAAATGGTGCTTACTATATGGCTGGCATTGTTTGTAGCACTTTTAGATATATTTAATCCTTAAAACAATTACTTTGAGGCAGTTACTATTATTCCCATATAACAGATGAAATGGGGAGAGTTAAGTAGCTTGCCAAAAAACATAGCTACTAAATAGTGGAGCTGAGATTCTTAACAAGGCAGTCTGGATCCAGATATAAGTGAATCAGAAACATGATTTATAATTGTAATGAAAATGTAACAAGATATTTGTTTTCTATCTTTTAAAAAGCTTAGCAGCTAAACTTCCTAAAACAGTGATGTAAATGTTTTTGTTTTATTATATTATGTAACTTGAGTACAATCTTATATGCAGAGGTTATGTTATTTGTCTAAAATCACAAAACAAGTGGTGGAATCAGAATTCAAAATCTGGTAATCTGGCTTCTGAATTCAAACGTTAGTGAGGTAAAGGAGAGGTAGCTCAGAGGTTTAACATCCCCCCCCCCGGCAAAAAAGACCAACTTTTGAAGGATGTTGTGCTCCCTGTTGA